TGTAAACCCTAGTTCTCTATACTTCTCTCTATATCCTGTAAACCCTAGTTCCCTATACTTCTCTCTATATCTTGTAAACCCTAGTTCTCCATACTTCTCTCTATATCCTGTAAACCCTAGTTCTCTATACTTCTCTCTATATCCTAGTAACCCTAGTTCTCTATACTTTTCTCCTTATCCTGTACACCCTAGTTCTCTATACTTTTATCTTTATCCTGTAACTATTAGGCATGTACCCAAAAAATTGGAAGATTTGAACCAAAAATGAAGGCAGGCCCCCCCTATCTGAAATGTGCAAACTCCACCATCACCTTTTTGCTATAGGACTAACACCTTACTCCAGAACTCAATCCTGAAGAAAGAATTGAGTCCAGGAGTAAGGATGAATCCTGGAGTAAGGATAAGTTCTAGTATTAGGAAGAATCTGTAAGCAAGGATAAGTGGGTTTTGAGAAACTATAACAAATGCTTACTAAAGGACTCAATCCTTGCTTCAGGACTCTTTCTTATTTAAGGACTTAATCATTACTCTAAAATGCAATCCTTACTCCAGGACTGAATTATTTTAAGATATTAATTCAAATTTTGTTTCTAGTTGAACCATTGCCCGTACTAAGCAGATTGCATACCTACCAGAGTCAAGGCCCCCAGGAAACAGTTGGCAACCAAGGCAGCCAGGAAATCAGCTCCCTCAACCGGAGTAGTTAAGATGCAGGCCCGGTACAGTCGGCCTCAGGGAGATCAGAAGGTACCAGAGGTCCAAAGAGCTCCCCTTCCAGTGTCTGATCAGGGAGATCGCCCAGGATGTCAAGACCAATCTCGGTTCCAGAGTGCTGATATCGGAGCTCTTCAGGTAGAAACCTTATAACCTTTTGGGAGTAAAATTATGGATTTTTAAATTAATATACAGAGAAAAAAAAGAATTAATCCATCAAAGGACTGTATGTGCCATTTTCAAGGTCTAGGAACGAACTAAGAATACAATACCTTAGATCGACAGGTATTCATACTATTAACATTAATATGGGCATAAATCTTTCACCAGCGCACCTCGTTTATACACTAGAGTCTTGTTTAATCTTATTTATTAAGTCTAAAGATACAAGAACAATAGCTCTAAGCCGTGAAACTGAAAAAACACAATATCAGTCACGGTTAGATTATTTATATTATGAATATTAAATNACTATGGTTTACAGGATATAGAGAAAAGTATAGAGAACTAGGGATTATAGGATATAGAGAGAAGTATAGAGAACTATGGTTTATAGGATATAGATATAGATAGTAAATATATTTATAGTTAAACATTGTTTGTAGTTTGTAGTTCAAATATCTTGACACATAAAGGCCTAATAGAGGGGGGGGGGCAATTACCCCCTCCCCCGTCCCCCTTTTATAACATTACTTATCCACACTCCACCTTCATAACATTACTCAGCAATCAGCCCTGGTTAAGTTAAATCTTGGGGGGGTTTCCGACCACAAAGGGTTCTGAGCCCCATCCCCCCTGGAAAAAAAGTTTTTACGTCCCCTCTGTACAAAATCCTGTATACGCCCCTGTTATCTTCTGGAACTAGTTTTCATAAAATTTATACTAAGTAAGGAACGGTGTTATAGCGGACAATCTTGCTCTTGACAGTCAGGAGTTGACAGTAGAAACCACCAGAGACAAGAGGTACTCTGGTGTGGATGGATAAAAGTCCAATAAATATGGTTTCTCAGGATAAAACTTATATATGTAGAATAATATCAGAAGATAAGAATATATCTTGAACACTTCTGTAGGAACACTTGTAGAGTCTCATGCTTCGTGAATCAACCTGAACAATAGTCATATAAAGATCTCTAGATCTTACACTGTAATTATACTATATGTAATTTTGAGTTGTAAATATATTTTTACATATTCCTACTAAGAAGACATTTAACTAAGCTGAATCTTAAAATCACTTCCAACTAATGAGAGGACATGTCATCTTTCTTTTTACATTTCCTGTTGCCAGCTATTGTATTTGACAATCTATTTAAGCTGGATGAAGCTGGAGCTCTAGACTCTTCCCTGCCATCTACAGTCTGGTTGGAGTTCTCTGCTCATAGTCTTATCACTGTTGAGAATCCCCTGACGATCTTGTGAAGAGCCCTGATTTTAGCTCTGGGTTCGCATTCACCATCTTTAGTTTGTTAACTGCCACAAAATCCTGGAGCAGACAAGCATTAAAATTTCACCGCTGCCAACTGAGAATGAGGATGAGCTGACCTTCATGCTGCATATGCTATATCCAGTCCGACCAAGCAGTCATCTTTCCGATACATAAATTAATGTTTGTTAATGATTTGATCAGGTATTTGATGGTTTTTTGTTGGCCTGTTTTATCTTTGTTTGGTCCTTTTTTGTTAAGGTTTATATTTTTTAACCAGTCTTTCTCCTTCCCTTTTCAGCTTAATTAAAATTTGTTCTTAGTTCAACCCTTGGTACAGTTCAACCACTAGGTTTTGTTCTTACTAAGTAATTCTAGATTTTATTTTCATTTTAATATTTTTGATCAAATTGTTAACACACTTTAATTTATGTATCGGACACAATGTACAGAAAGACTAACTGCTTGGTCGGACTGGATATAGCATATGCAGCATGAAGGTCTGCTCATCCTCATTCTCAGTTGGCAGCGGTGAAATTTTAATGCTCGTCTGCTCCATGATTTTGTGGCAGTTAATGCACTGAACATGGTGAATGCGTACCCAGAGCTTACATCAGGGCTCTTCACAAGATCTTCAGTGGGATTCTCAACTGTGATAGACTATGTGCTGGACACAACGGAAACTACACGCAGGATAGGTAAGCCAAGGATCTACGAAGAGGGAGATATTTTCTCGGGAAGTAATATTCTAAACAGTATTTTATAAATTATATCCAGGAAGACAACTTTAACAGGAGTGTTCGCGAAAAATGAAAGGGTGTATAGGCTTAACGCGATAAAAAAGCGCTTTTGATCGCTACTAATCTTTCTTCTATCTGTTGCGTCTATAAGGAGAAAATTGTTAAAGACGTCTCATACCAAATAACATGGCGTCAATACAAATTGAGAAAATTTCAACATTCGACTTAGACTGTAAAAAAATCAATTTAATTTCAAACAAATCATTTAGATATTACAACCTATAGTCATCGATTATCTTTCGCCACATTTGTATATATTTCATATATCATACTAGTTTTGATTTTTGTTTTTTTTTTAATAATATTTAGCTTACAAATTGTTTTCGAACATTCCTGGAAAATATGAAAATGTTGTCTTTATTTCCAAAAATCCTCAAAACAGGAATAAATGTTTTTATAATTAACTCTCAGATCATAACATATTACGAAAATCAACAATATATAAATGTGGCGAAAGATAATGGATGACTATAGGTTGTAATATCTGAATGATTTTAACACTACCTTTATAGAACCAAATAAACTAAAAACAAAGACGATTATATATTTTAAACCAAATTTCTTCTAAAGTAAACCCCCAGGGGCAAATTTGAACTGGTGAGATAAATTTCTGGAAGGAAGGGGTATATATTTTTTAAAGAGTATTAATAATAGAATATCCAACGGTAATTTCCTGAAGATAATTAAAATTGTGGGATAATTTCCTTCAGATAATTATAACAAGAGGATTAGGTTATCAAATAGATAATCAATCGGATCAATATTCAGGGATACCAGTGGGGGTAGTGAAACATAACAGAGCTGATGTGTCCTGAAAAGTGTACGCCAGACAAAACGTACAGGTAGACAGGTGATTTTCTGTTATAAAATTATACTCTCCGGAACAGCCTTAAACAGTAAAACTGTCCCTAAACAAAGAAACTCCATAATCTCCAGTCCTCAATCCTTAGTCCAGTCCTCAATCCTTACTCCATGACAAAATCCTTGCTATAGGAGTCAATCCATACTTCCGGACTCATCCTTACTCCAGGACTATATCCTTGCTCCATGTACTCATCCTTACTCCAGGACTCGATCCTTACTTTTAGTCTTAGGGTAAAAATTGAGTCCTCAAGTAAGAATCAAGTCCTGAAGCAATAATTGAGTCCTGCAGTAAGGATTGAGTGCTTGGGTAAGGATTGAGTGTTTGGGAAGGATTGAGTCTTGGAGTAAGGATTTAGTACTGAAGTAAAAATTGAGTCCTGAAGTAAGGATGAGTTAAAAAAAAATAGGAAGATTTGAACTAAAACTAAAAAATTCATTAAATTTTGAAGAAATCACCTTGATCCGGATCTATTTTTTGCAGCGCGGATCCAGGATTGGTATCTAAATCCCGATCCAGATTCGCATCAAAATTAAATGGATCCAGGGTGGCCAAAATGTACGGATTTTACGGATTGATTTTCTTTTAACCCTAAAATTGTACGGATTTGTTTTCAAATTGTACGGATTTTATCCTGGAAAATACACCGGTTTTTTTAATTTTCAATCATTTCAGCAAATTTTTCATGAAAATTTAAAAAAAAAAATTCTCGTCAAAATGAACGTAGTTTAACTTATTTTCTGCATTCTAAATAATATTAGATTGATTAATTTTTCAGTTGACAATCAAAATTCATTCATAATTTTCGAGATATGTCCAAGAAGTGTTTATTTGAGAATATGTTCCATAAGTACTTATTTGATTGCTTATTCAAGAAGATGTTCCAGTATCCTGTACCCAGTATCCTGTA